GAGAGAGATGGAAAATTCTGGTTATAATCAGTTCTGCGGAAACCAGGAGGAGTTGAAACTTCCTTTTTTCCATCACTCCTTGATTTGGGCAAGCTGATTTGGGGTTCCTTATCTGCAACTTTCCGCGAACGGATGCGTTTTCGTTTCTGTGCAGAACCTTCCGGAAAACTGAAAGAAACTCCCTCCTCAGCCAAGTCAGAGTCAGACTCGTCATCAGACAAAACAGCAAAGGGATTTTTGTCGTTGGTTGATGGTGTGGCTGTTTTTAGCATTGCTGCAAAAGACTGCCTGGAACGCTCCTTAAGAGAGCGTTCTAGTTTCTCCCCGCGTTGTTTGTACGCCGGGCACGATGAGAGACCATGAGGAGTTCCCTTACAGTACACGCATTTTGGTGCAGTGACTGTGCAGGCGCCATCCTCGTGCTTCTCCCCGCATTTAGAACAGCGTGCCTTGCTGCCACAGTGAGAGGCCGTATGTCCCAACTGTTTGCAGTTTTGGCAGTTCATGACCCGAGGAACAAACAAACGCACAGGTAGCCGAAGTTTTCCCAACTCGATGTAGTGAGGAAGGGCTGAACCAGAAAAGGTCACTCGAAACGAGTCTGTGGGGGTAAAGCTCTTTTTACCCTCGCTGAAAGATACTGAGTTCAGCTTCTGGACTTCCAGTATCTCAACCGTGGGAAGCAAGGGGTTTTTGAAACGGCCAACCTCTTGGTTCGCCAAGATCTCGGGGGTCAGACTCGCTTCGGTGACCACACCTTCGATCTCCACATCACGAGCTGGGATGTACACTCTATACTCGAGTGTAAAGAGCTGGGAGGCAGCAATCTCGTTAGCTTGTTTCAGGTTAGAGACGACAACGCGAAGTTTATTGTACCTCACCTTCGAGATTTCGGTCACGGCCGAGAACCGCTTCGTCAGATCATTAGTAATTTGCATTACATTCAAAGGTTTCTTTTTGGGCTGAAAGTAAACAACCCATGGGCCAGTCGAGTCTTCTGGGTAGGCTCGCGATCGGGGGCTTATCTGTCCCTGTCCATTACCAGACTGAGATGACGAACCAGGGATGACATCATCTGATTTCTGGGATGACAGACGTTTTCGACCCTTCTTGCTATCGCGTGGCAAAGTGGTGTCATCTTCCGACAAAACGTCCATTTCGTCTTCCGACAAAATGTCCATTTTGCCGTACTAGTGGGAGCGAAAAACGCTCTACCACTGCAACGATAATCAAAATTACTCGGACACAATACACGAAGAAAAAAAATACTAACACAGAAACACAAACTTAAAACTTAACAGATGGGAGAAAGAAAGAAACAAGAACAAAAACTTATCTGATAATCCTATACTACTATCACCGAGCGTTTACACAGCAGCAGCGGAGCGACGCGCAGCTTTGATGATCTTCGATCCGCGTGTGCGGGCGGTCTTCGTTGGTGTGTGCTTGTATGAAGCTCGGCACTCAGCTGAACACACGAGATGGATGAGCGGTTTGAATGTGGAGGCAGATGCTGACACTCGATGACGATGATCCGTGTGCACAGGTATGCGTGACCACGCACCGATGGTGCGCAAAATGGTTGGCGAATTGGCAATCGCAAAAACAATTTTCCTTCCGATGATGCCGAAAACACACTTTCTTCTCAGAAAAAAACTCACTTTTTGATAAATTTATCGGGAATTATGCCAGGAATCACTAAGCGAGAAAAAACTGATTATTTACGTCAGATAATAGCGAGAAAACTTCCAAATTAACGGAGCGCGAAACAAGTCGACCGTTCTTCTTGCTAGGACGCAGTGAGATGTATTCAAAGTGTTGATTTCAATCAAATATTGAGGAGGATTCCCACATAATTCTCGAAGGAGTTGTTCATAATAAGTTGTTCCAGAATTATAATCCATTTCGGAAATAGAAATTGTTAGATGAATTTGGAGAGCTTTATGTGAAGATGAATGAAAGTTCTAAATTAAATTTTTAGGTAATTTATGAAGATTTCAAAAGTAGTTGTGAAAATTATTACGTGATTCTGAGGAGATTTGTATGAGGATCGTGAGGAAAATGACAGATGAAATTCAAGAAGAATTCCAAGATAATTATGATGAAAATTCAACAAGACGCAGAGTTCTAAGATTGTTCTAGCTCTTATTTCAACCCCAGTGCGAAAGATTCGTCACAGAGCTCCAACAAAATGTATTGCAAAAAAATACTAATAACACTAGTTTACAGCATATTTGAACTTTGTCCGTTGATGGTCATTTCCCATGTAAAATCGTGGGCTGAATCCAAAAATATTGTCAAAAAATCTAAGTATGATAGTTTTCTAGATACAGCTAAAAAAGGAGTTTCTTCTAATAAAAGATTGTTTACTAAAATAAAAATATCTCTGGCTGTAATGAAGCTATATCAATTATTTTAATGCCTAATTAAAAGTGAGAAAATTTATTTTCAATCATATTAGTGATATTATTGGCACAATCACTACAATTATTTGTATTTACACCTTGCTTAAAAACTTTGCTGAAATCAAATTTTCTTTGAAATATGCAAAACATAAAAAAATTAAACTTGCTATTAATTAACAACAATGCCAGTAATATCTCTGGCAAATGATGTTCAACTGATAGAAAAAAAAAATAATTTGGCCTTCAAATAATTTATATACCTAGCTTCATTACAGCCGGATATATTTGTGTTTTAGGAAGTGAACATTCATTTCTAGGTGAAATTTTATTTTTTAGCTGTATCTAGAAAACTATCTTACTGAGATTTTTTTCTGACTACATTTTTGTATTCAGCGCACGAAGTTCATTTTATTTACTTTTATTCGTTATTTAGTGGGGGTTCTAAATAAAATTTCGAAAGATTTATGCTTTTTTGAATAGTTAAAATATAATTTTGAAAAGAATTTCAAATGAATCAAAGTCTCCAATCAAGTTCTTAGAAGTGTTTTCAAGGAAATAAAAAAAAAAAAATTCAAGGGTAATTATTACCCGAAGTATTTTTTGGTTAATTTCAGAAGAATTCCATGATAATTCAGAGAAGAATTCCAAGTTAATTCTGGAATTCATGTCATGAGAATTTTGAATAACGAAACATTAAAACCAAGGAAAAGAATAGTGCACTTTACATCTGAAATTGAAACGACAAAAATTGTAATTTTGCTGAGTGATTAAATTCTAAAAACAATAAGACGGGAAACTGAAGTAAATCATGCAGCAAAAAGAGCAAGAAAAATAAAGTAAAGAATCACTCTGTTTTAATAGTTAATTCTGAAATTCTGGTGTTAAAATTTGTTCCTATGGCATGGTTAATTTATTTTCCCGGTTCTTCCATCGAATTCCCGGGGTTTTCCCGGTTACTTTTCAAATTCCCGGATGTTTCCCGGTATTCCCGGTTCGCTGGCCACCCTGCTAGGCGGAGGCTATAAACACCGCTAACTACCTTCAAAATCGACAACCGACTAAATCGCTGAAGGTCACACCCTATGAAGCATGGTGAGGAGTAAAGCCCGATTTGAGACAAGTATTTGGTGCTGACGCGTACGTGTCGATATCAAAACTGAACCGAACGAAATTGGTTGGTTATTCAACGCTGCAGCAGGTGTACCGATTTTTGGATAGAAGCAACGGGCATGTCATCAAAAGCAGAGATGCTCGCTTCTTGCCAACAAGCAGTATCCAGGAAGAAGTAGAAGAAAATGGAAGTATCATAGAATCGAGGAGGAAGAGTTTTTGTCGAAGTCCGAAAAAAACAATGATCAAAATGATACATCCACAGAGTCATACGAGAGCTCTACACTCACCGAAGAGTACGTCGATGCCGAAGAACGTCTCCTCAACGCACCGAGTGGACCGTTATCAACGAGCACACCGATACGCATCTCAAGTCGGCCTAATAAAGGTATTCCAGCATCCCGGTACCTTGAAACCAACAGTTTGGCAAGCCAGGAAACGTTCGAGCCGAGAACACTAGCAGAAGCGCTAGCAAATCCAGAGCGGAAACATTGGAAAATCGCGATGGATGCAGAGTATGCTGCCCTGCAAGAAAACTCCACCTTGAATATCGTCAGTCTCCCCTCCAACCGCAAACTAGTAGGAATCCTACTGTAGGATGTCGGTGGATTTTCATAAATCAGGCGTTGCTCAGCTGCCTTAGCACAACCTTTAGCAGCCATTTTTAATGCATCCTTTGAGCAAGGAAAATCTCCAACATTGTGGAAGCAGTCGTATATGTTTCCTGTTTTCAAAGCTGGCAATAAACGGGATATTAAGAACTATCGAGGTATCACCAGTCTTTCGGCAGCGTCCAAACTGTTTGAGATCATCTTGAGCGAATTTGTCCAGCAACTTAGGTCGTGGTTACATTCCTACTTGACTGGACGAACTCTTCGAGTACGACTAGGATCTTGTTTCTCTTCTACATTTACCGGCACCTCTGGAGTACCTCAGGGAAGTAACCTGGGTCCACTTTTGTTTACGTTATGCTTCAACGATGTAGCAGCTTTGTTGGGAGTTAAATGCAAGCTCGTTTATGCAGATGATCTTTCACTCGATTGAGGATTGTCATCGTCTTCAAGCTCTGCTAGATTTGTTTGTGGATTGGTGCCGTCGCAATAAGCTCAACATCAGCGTTCCAAAGTGTGCAGTGATGACGTTTCATCGCTCTAAGAGTTCAATCCTTTGAATGTTGCAAGATACAAGGCCTGACTCGTCGCCCAGGGATGCAGCCAGAAATGTTGGTACCGACTACGACGAAGCCGCATGTGAAGCTTGTCGATATTAAGACGGCATATTTGAATGGAGACATTTCGGAGACCATCTATAAGAATCAGCCACCTGAGTACCAAGGGCATCAAAGAGTATGAACGAGTACGGAAGCACCTGGAGAAGAAATTCAAGATTTCATGTTTAGGTGATGTGAAGAATTACATTGGCATTCACGTTGAGCGACAAGAAGACGGAAGCTTCCTGTTAAGCCAAGAACACTATATCAAGAGCATGTTTGCGAAGTTTGGCATGGAGCAAGCGAAGCCATCATCGATCCCAATGGACCCGGGGTACGTCACAGCAGAGCAAAAGGAGGAGAAGATGTTGGCCACCGCCGAGAAGTACCAGAGTTTGGTGGGAGCTTTGCTCTTCGTCGCCGTATGTACACGGCCTGATCTGGAAATTACGGCATCCATCCTTGGCCGTAAAGTCAGCAAACCTACCGATAGCGACTGGACGGAAGCGAAACGAGCATTGCGGTATTTGAAGGGCACCGCCGGACTGAAGTTGAAACTAGGCGGAAGTGTTAGTCGGGAAGGCTACGCTGATGCTGATCGGGCAGGCGATCTCGAGGACAGGAAGTCCAATTCCGGATTTCTGTTCAAGCTTGGCGAAGGAACAATTAGTTGTACAGCACGGAAGAAGGAATGTGTAACCTTGTCTTCGACCGAAGCGAAATATGTTGCACTCGCTGAAGCAAGCAAGGAGCTACTTTGGCTTATGAAGCTGATTTCGAAAATGCTGTAGACATCTTCTACCCAATTTTATCAGGAATAATTTAAGAAGAAATACCTTTGAAGAAAAAAAGACGCTTTTTTTTATAAAGCGTTTATTTTTCCAGGCTCATTTGCTATAGCTTTGCGGAGCCACTTAAAAAAAAAGACGCTTCAGAAGCACTAAAAATCCAGTCTGGAATAACAGACAAATAATAAACTTAAAAAATCGAAAACAGAAAGCACATAAACGTTACAAAAAACACAATAATAGTAAAATGTTGGCTATCTATTTGGACATATGCGATCAACTGGATTTAGCCATCAGTAATGCATTTGAAGAATTTAATTCAAAAAATGAACTTGAAATAAAGTCCTGTCCAAAGAACTTCTTCAATTACGTAAAAACCAAATTAAAATCTGATAATTTTCCATCAATAATGCATCTTGACGAACGTGTCGGGTATAGCTCGGATAAAGAATTTTGCCGCCTCAAAAGGCGTCTTAAACAAAAATTTAAGACGTCTATCAATGGAACTCACTGCTCCATTGTTTTGGCTTTTTAATATGTCACTGGAATCCGCAACCTTCCCAAAAATATGGAAAAGCTCATTTTAAGTACCTATTTTTAAATCTGGCCGGAAAGCTGACGTATGTAATTATCGTAGAATAGCCATTATATCTTGCATTCCAAAGCTTTTCGAGGCAATTAACCACTTCATTCGAGCAGTTTAAATGACGTTAAATACCGTTCAAACTTGGAAATAAAGCATTATTTTGAGATTTTTTCTTTCGAGAAAAGTAGCCAACATTTGTGCGTTTCATAAAAAAATAGAAACTAGTTGGTCCAGTTTTGTGAAACCGCTGGTAGAAAGTCACACCAAAACTGGTTGACAAAGTGATCAATTGTAAATGAAAAATTATTTCTTCAAACTAAAAATAGAATTACTGACATGCAACACGGCTTCTTTAAAGGACGTTCGACCTCGACGAATTTACTTGAATTTATAGACTATACATTAAATGCAATGGATAATGGAAACCACGTAGAAGCCCTCCATGCAGACTTTAGCAAGGCATTTGACTTGGCGAGGACATCCTGCAGCCGGCGACCATCCAAAAGGAAAACCAGAGCTGTATCAGTATGCTGAGTGCCGAAGGTGATACCCAACGAACGAAGCACATCGAATTTCTTCCGGGATTTGGCCAGCTAAGGAGATCTTCTTGTTAGGTATTGTCCAACGGAGTATATGTTGGCGGACGTACTGACAAAACCACTTGCGAGGATCAAACTAGCAAATATGACAGAGATGATTGGCCTGCAGAACATCGACCTTGGGCAGGAGTGTTAGAAATAGGAGACCAAGAACGATGAATAGCATGCCATGGTTATATTGATGTAGATGATTAGAAATACAAATCTCGATAACGTAACGATAGCTTCTGTAAACAATGCATTTGATCGTCGATTTGGCGTAACTGGTAGCTCGCCCATGCATGCTAACACAACACTATGTAAGTAAGCGTGTGCGAGCTACCAGTTACGCCAAATCGACGATCAAATGCATTGTTTACAAAAGCTGATACGTCCCTTTGAAAAAGTAATCGAGAAATATCGTTAGTTACTATTGCACCACCAACCAAGCAGGTTGTATTCTCTTTTACCTCCAAGACTTTTCCATACAAATTTTAAAAATTTACCTCCGTTACTCAATATCCTCCCTAACTCTATGGTTCCTGCGATATCAAGTAAGGATCAAGATCTCCAAATGAAAAATGCCAGAAGTTGTCTCAAAATGCAGGAGATAGTATTTTCTTTCAAATCCCTGGTTATTCTTCAGAAGCTTTTTCTAAGTTCGAAAAGGGGGAGAGGTAGCTCATCGATTCTTCCGGTTCGCCTCCTAGCATCGTGCTATAAGGTACCCGGCGATAACCAGGGTAGTTGATCGATAGCTCGATGACGTCATTTCGTTGACGTATGCAATGGGAAATTCTCATAGCAGGCGTTGACGATGGGGCGTTGTCGAGTTGTGGTAACTCACCGATTACCTGTCGATCTGCCAAATTTGGAAAGACGTCTGCATTGAATTGTCTCATATAATAATATTCCGCCCACTATATCACAAGAAATTGCGAGTAGCTGAGTGGAATGGAGATAAGTTAAGCATTGGGTACAGGACCAAGTCTCCCCTGGGTGGTGCCAAAAGATGAGCGCAATAGAATCATCAAGTTGCCATAAGGCACGGAATGAGACTATTGCATGGCTGGGTAGTCAAAGTCTTTCATTCGTTAGTCATTTCAGGTGGATTAGAACAGGTTTAGGTGGGCGTTGGCCAGATTTGGATTTTTCAGATGTAATCCTGGATAGGACCCTGTCATTGAACGTCGCGTGAAAGTGGAACTTAATGAAGGCCTAAATACTTTTTCCTAGTTTTTAGTTTTCGGATTTGAAAGATCGTCGGTTACAGTGGCCTGCTTACTGAGCAGAAAAACGCTGTCCCAGGTCCTTACATATCAAAGAGATTTATGGTAAAATCGCTTGTGTATCGTGTATTTTGCGAAACTCGTTGTTGTCGTTGGTTCCGGGTTTGAATGGATACACAAATTTGAGCAACGGTATTATGTGATATGAGGGGCTCGGTGGCCTTAGAGTAACCGTATTTGCTTACTGAGCAGAACATCATGAGTCTAATCTCAGGCCCATCCACATTCAAGATTCGTCAATCGTTTTATTTGTTAATATGACTACATGGTAATAACAGCAACTCGGTGATTAAAAAGGTGCACGTCTGCCTAGTGGCAAACGTTTTTGCTTACTGAGCAGAAGACCGTGGGTTTAGTCCCAAGCTCCTTCGCGTTATATGATCGTTAGGACATCAATTCAGCTTATCGTTTACCAAAACGAACCCTGCTGCAAACCCAACCCTCTTATCCAACATCCCAGTGATTCCTCGTGGAAGTGCAGAGGTGTTCTCGGCTTCCATCAAAGCGAGTGTCATGTCAACACAATCCTTCCCATTCCTTTCTTGACCTGTGTTCGGGCGCGGCCGGCGCTGGTATTGCCTAATTTAAGATCACCAGTTTTTACACATTGAGGATGATTGCTAGTCCCAAGCATCGTCTATTGGTTCTCTGTGTAATTACAGCTGATATGGCAGTAACAGAGTAGCAACCGTGGGCGGTCAAGCTCAAGAAGCTTTTTCTAAGTGCGAAAATATAAATGTTAATTTCTATTCAATAAGATGCACATAGAGAGTGTTGCGATCAAAATTTTGGCAAACAAGAATGCGTGTAAATTGATTTTTTTAAATAAAAAATATTTTTGTTTCTTTTTGAGATTAGGGTAGAGCGCTACTTTGTCGTAATCGCCCATTTCCGTTCTATCGATCAGAAAAGATCAATAATATCAATGATTTCACCGTGTACAAATCAATAATAGGTTTGTTCCGATGCGTTAGTTCATTAGCTACAACATAATTCCTGTTAGAGCGCATTGTATGAATATTTACGCTCATTGTTCTCAAAACAAAAGAAGCGTTCCTAGCGAATCCCCTTTTTCTACGTTTATCCGTAGGACGAAGAAAATCTAATGGCGTTTCAATGCGTTAGGACAGAATTGAAACTCGTAGAACGAATTTAGAATCAAGAAGAAGTATTAGATTTTGAACAATATCTCAACAATTTGTGACTCTTTATCAAATCCAACGGTAGGTATGGAAAGGTGGATAAATTTAGAAGTCATCTTTGACAGAAATATTCCATTTTTGGTTTAAATTCGTTCAGAAAAGAAAGGTAAACGTAAAGCACGGGTTGTCCTTAGTAAGCCGGAAATTAGATCAAAACCCCTAATTTGTATAAAATACTGAAAAAATATTTAGCTAAAGTTCCGACTGACCATATCTAAAAATATCCATTATTACCGTCCCAATGACGCGTTCATTTAGATAAAATTGATAAATAGGCGATTTTTAGCGATGGGCCCAATCTTAGATCCATAGGCCTACATTAGAGCCATTTCCCCTATGTGATCTTTCGATACGCTGGAACATGAGATGAAAGTTATCTCAAAATTCCATATTTCTGAGACAAACAAAAGCATTCGCAATCTCCATCATTTTTTGAAATTTGGCATCTTTGAAAAATTTGTATGATCGTGAACTTTAAAAACAAACCAATGTTTGAGACTAGTTCTGTCGAGGCTATTCGCTCTATGAGGCTGGTAAAGCACTCCTCGTATTTTATTATGAAAATACGAGAGCTTCTAAGTGCTTTATCTTTAAGATCTTTTGCCATCACCTTTGCATGAGTCCCATCTCATTGCTCGATTCCGGGCAATGAGATGGCGGACTCACTAGCTAAGGTGGGCGCTATGGAAGGCGGTATTTACGATCCGCAAATCGCCTACGATGAATTTTTCTTCATTTATCGTCAACAGTCACTCGTCAGCTGGCAGAATAAATGGAGCGAAGGAAGTTTGGAACGATGGCTATATTCGATCATCCCTAAGGTGTCGAAGAGTCCTTGGTTCAAGGGTTGGATGTGGGTCGAGACTTCATTCGTATGATGTCTCGCCTCATGTCCAATCACTACTCGTCAAACGCTCACTTGTTCCGTGTTGGGCTGGGGGACAGCAATCTCTGTGAATGTGGACAAGGTTACCAGGACGCATATCACATTATTTGGTCTTGTGCTGAGCATCGCGGAGTCAGATCTGAACTGTACGATTCCCTTCGGGCTCGAGGTAGACAACCTAATGTTCCAGTGCGGGATATTTTGGGTAGACGCGATCTGGAGTTTATGAAACTTATATATATATATATATATATATATGTTTTCTTTAAAAATATTAACCTTAGATTGTAAGTTTGACTAACCTTGTGTTTAGTTTTTGTTTTGTTCGTGTGGGTTTTTTTTTAATGTTTGTTTCTGTAATAATTGTATAATTACACTGTGGATACCAAATTGAATAGGAATAAGTTCATGTTTTAGGAATAACTCAAACCTCCTCCTCCCTCTCCCCATCCATAAAACTGT